CTACTAGGTGGTAAGTAATGGAGTGACGTGGAGAGATCTGATAGGCTAGCTCCAATCATAAAATCTCTCATATCTGGTGTATTAAACGTGTTTCCCTATCAATGCTAGGTTTCGTGTCAATTCTTTGATTAAGCAATCCGAGATGAAAGGAAGCAAGAGATTGAACTCCAAGTGCTAGGATTTCCCCCGCTTCTTCCGTCTCGGGCGGGAGTACTAGGGCTGGGCAAAAATACCAAAAAATCTGTATGCCGCACTTACCATACCGAAAAATACCAGAAAATACCGTAATATTGGTATACCGTCATTTTCGGTACGGTATCATACCGTACCGATTTATTTCGGTACGGTAACGGTAAATGTTTTCAAAAACCGCGGTATACCGGTATAATACCATACTGACTCCCTAAACTAAAATTACTTTAAATTCTAAAATATTGTAAAAGTCTATTACAATTTTGAAGCCTAAACTTAATACTTAGGTTGGTTACAAATATCAATATACAAAAATATAAGCTCAATTTCCCAAACCCACTATAACCTCCTAGGCTTCTATTCCGTAGCATTCAAATAAACTACCCTAATGGCTAATGAGTAATGTACTCAGGGGCGGAGCCAGAAAAATGAATCAGCGGGGTCGAAATCAAATTTACATAGAATCAAAACAGTAGATTATTTTTAGACAATACCCGAATTGAATGTAGCTTAGATAAATGATAGTTTAAATGAAACTAATAGAGTATATGTAGTTAATATACTTCGTATATGTCACATATATCATAAACTTATTTTATACGGGTTGAGTTGAGTACCTCAAATGAGACCCATTGTCTTACACTAGTACTCTATGGTTCTCTTTGATCTTACTCGGTATAGTATCAAGATTTCTTACTAGAAAAGAATCATTTATTGAGTAGACACTCGTAGTAGTAAGATATGTTGTCCTTGTTCTGTCCCTAAGTCATGTCACGTAAGTAACGAGTGAATTACACGCTATTTTGTGAATATAATTAATATTACGCATCACAATTTTACTAATTTCAAACTTAAATAGTGCTGATTTTGTGGAAGTCATAACTTTTTACTCGTAATGAGTTACGAGAGCCATAATATATCAAATCGAAGATATTTCAGAGTTCTATACTCTTAAATTTTCAGCGGGGTCGGCTGACCACCCTGACCCCCTAGTAGCTCCGCTCCTGAATGTACTAATGTCTAGAAACAAGTCCATCTTGTCCCAAGAGCTTGCGAGTCGTGATGGCTGAGCTGCTGACGAGTGTATCTTCATAGGGATTCCGCGAGTCAAAACATACAACTTTATCCGAAAGTCTTGTTTAAATATTTTTTAAAATTATAAAATGACTAAATACACAATCATATGAGGAATAAATGATTTTATATCCATATTGTTTGAAAAAAAATATTTATTTTTGTTAGAGATCACTATTGATTTAATTATATTTATATTATTCAAGTTATTTTAGGAGAATGTATTATTTTTTAATACGTGGCATGTTGAACTACTTAAATATACTAAAAATAATTATTGTTCAATATTGAATATGACATCAATAGATTAATAATTGTATTTTGAAACATTTTAATAATGTATTAAATATGTCGCTAGTAACACCGATTTAGTGTATTTTATTAGTCTATGGTAATTTACCGATGCCGTACCGTTACCGTACCGAAACTTTGGTATACCGAAATGCAGTATACCGAAACTTCGGTAAGGTAACGGTATATAAATTTTGTATACCGAAAGTTTTGGTACGGTAAAAGTATGAGAAAAAATATTTGATATACCGTACCGAACCACCCCTAGGTGGGACATGTCAATGAGGCGGATGTATCCCAAAGCAGCTTTGGGCCTTTTGCGTAAGTTGGACAGCGGGAGTGTTCGGGCCCGCCTGTTGTTGGGCCTAATACCCCAAGATTTACTTCGGACCTTGTTAGTTCTATACTCATCCTGTTATAGTTTTAGAGTTTCTTATATAGTGATCATATTTTATTAATATATAAGTAGTATTCCTACTTGTTTTAGCTTATTTTATTCCAAACTATCATCAAATTCACAAATTTATCACATTCTTTCACTTTTATAAAAAAAAGACTCAAACTTTATCTTTTTCAACAATTATGGCTTTCTTCATTGTTTTTTTAAAATTACAAATTTTATCAATGCCAATAAGATATAAGTAATTCAAGTTTTTAAACTTAAAACTAGAAAGAAGTGAAAAATATGAAATATAAATATGATTTTGTTCATAAGTTTTACTCATTCATATATAAAATATGAAAAATGTTATAAATGAGAAAATCACATCAATTAGTTTTTCATTTTTGTATCTTATGTTTAAGATACACGGACATTTTCATCGCATATTTTTCAACAAAAACTAATGATTATACTCTTATTACTAAATATTAAATAAATATTAAACTCAATTTATTTTTTGAAAAGCAATTTATTCTTCTATATGTTTTTTTTTTGTTTTTAAACAAAAAAACTATTATTATTAAAAGCAACTTAGTATTGTGGAATAGAAAAAGTATAGTGTGGATATGAATAACATTGCACGAATATGAAATAAAATTACTTAAGCTACTTTGTCAAAAAAAGTTATACGGAGTATATTAGAATTAAATAAATGGTTCTCACATATAAATAGTTTTTTTTACTCCAGGGGGCATGGGCGGATCTGCTTTGTTCAGGGGTTTTCATGTGAACACCCAAAATTTTAAAAATACAATACAAAAACAAATGTTAAAAATTGATGTAATAATTTTTTATGTAATGTTATAGTTGTAAAATAATTTTGAACGCCAAAAAATAATAATAATAATAATAATTTTGAACACCCAAAACCTAGTTGCAAGATCCGCCACTGCTAAGGGGGCTGGGGGGAGGGGGGCTTGGATTAATCAGGGCTAAAACCCACCTCCTTGAGTTTCGAACCCTCATGTGCCTAGCGGGTTTTGAACTCGAGACCTCCCACTAGGCACGGTAACCTCACAACCAGCTGGGCTGAAATGCTTGGTTGTTCTCACATATAAATAGTATTAGTATACAAAGTGAAAGGAATGTGAACTATACAAAGCATTTCAAATATACGTATTTTATTGGAACAAATTATTCAAAGTATTTCAAAATAACGAATGAAAGTTTTACAAATTATGCATAGTTTTCTAAAACCAATTTGATAAAACATTACTCCCTCCGTATTTAAAAGTTCCCTACACTTTTTTTTGGGATGTATTTAAAAGTTCCCTACATTTTTCCTTTTTGGTACGTTTTTCCTTTAAAAATACTCAACTACCCTTACTTTTTCTACCTTTATCATCTTTTCCCTACTTTTTCCTCTCCTCTCCTAATTTTTCTATACTGTTCATTACCCTTACTATTCTACCTTAAATCTTACGCCATAACCAAACGTAGCGATCTTTGAAATACGGAGGGAGTATAAAATATGGAATAAAATCGAATATTATACAACATTCCAAATATACATATGCTCTCTAAATGGAATGATTATATTATTTGAAGTTTATTTGGAAATTGATGCTCCATATTAGAGCAATATTCCAGTCAGGACATCGTGACCGGAACTGTCGTCCAACCGTCACGATTTGAGAGTTCATAGTGTTTTTTTCTTGATTAACTTTTGATAGCATTTTCAATATCAAGTTTAGATTATATCCACATACTTTCAACTTAAAATTCGATCGGGAAGTCAATAGAAGATTGAGGAACACTGCGCCAAAAAATTTATATATAAAATGCAGTATTTTCAATAATTTGTTTAACTGACAAAATATTTATATATTAAATGAAATATTTTCAATAATTTGTTTAACTGACTCCTCATTTGAATTTTAAGTTGAAATTTTGTGAACATAATCTAAACCTTACGAAGAACATGGTTAAAAAAGTTCATCAAAAAAACCACTGAGATCATCCTCAAATCGCGACGGCTAGACGGCGATTCTCCCCCGGAATTCCGGTGGTGAACTTTTCTCCTCCGCAATATATATAAATACTATGAATTTAGGACGTAATTGCAATTAATTTAATGAATATTCACTATTAGGACTCAATAATAATCAATTGAGTAAATACTGTGAATTTAGGACTTAATTGCAATTAATAACTATTCACTAATTGGACTTAATTACAATTAATTGAAAATTCAATTTCAATTAGAAGGTTGTACTTTATTATTAAGTAAGTAGATAAACAAGTTTAGAGCTTGATTTGCAAAATACTACCCCCTCCTTCCCCTTTTAAATGTCCCAGTTTACAATATTGAGATGTTCTTATTTAATTGTCTCATACCTTATTTGGTAAAGTTTGTGTGACTCAAAATCATTCTTACTTTATTCTTATTTTATCAATTAATATCAACCACACAAACTCATTTTTCTTAAAACTCGTGTTACCCTCTTTCGTCCAATATAAAAGGGACGGAGGTAGTAGTAGAAAACGAGGTAAGGGTCAGGTTGGTACTCAAAGTTGTATAAAAAGTATCAAATAAGTCCTTATATAGGAGGCTCTGTCTGGCCGTCGCTATTTGGGGCAGTTCCCGGTGGAATTTTTTGACGAAATTTTTTGAGCATTTTATTCGTTAAGTCTAGTTTACTCATACCAAATTTCAGCTAAAACTTCAATCGGGAAGGCATTCAAATGAATTCTTGAAGATAACTGCGCATTTATCTTCAAGAATTCATTTGAATGCCTTCCCGATTGAAGTTTTAGCTGAAATTTGGTATGAGTAAACTAGACTTAATAAATAAGATGCTAAAAAAAATTCACCAAAAAATTCCATCGGAAACCGTCTCAAATGGCCACGGTCGGACAGTAAGAACTTATTTAATCCCTTTTATGCAACTTCGAATAGCAATGTGACCCTTAAAACTGTAACTTACAGTGATAACCGCGTATTTGGCTGCATCATTTCGTTTTGTGTGAACCTCCACCAGAAAATTATAAGCTGATGAAATAGTCATAAAACAACCGCGAACAAAATCCGCTGAAAAAGAAAAACGCCCACAGAGACACACAAACCGACACCGAGATTAGGGAAAAGACAAAAGAAAAAAAAAAAAGAGGAAAAAGATTTCTGTCATTTCATCTTATCTCATCGGGGTGCTTCTTCTCCCTTCGCCTCTTCTTTCTAGCTTCCATGGATAATGATTTCTGGACCTCTCGCATCGCTGCTGCCAAGCGCCAATTCAATCTGCAGAATCACCATCACACAAGCTACCATTCCAATACCCGCCACATCTCTCAATTGGGTTCGTCTTTGTTTGTTTGTTTATGAACCGGATGCCTTAATTCGTGAAAAGATTTGATCTTTTGTTCATTCATTTCTGGGTTTTTGCAGATCGGTTGAACATAGATGAGGTGGAGGTTGAAGAAGAGGTCCGACCCGATTTTCCATGCCCTTATTGTTACGAAGACTTTGACATCAACTCCCTCTGCTCTCATCTTGAGGATGAGCATTCTTGCGAGTCCAAACCTACCGTAAGTTTGTTACTCTGTCAGGCAATATATATCCGGTTACATTTCTGCTACACTGGGTTAAATTCTGTTAGTGGAATTTTTTCATTTTTATTCTTGAATCGTAAAAAGATAAGCTTTTTTTTTTCTTCCTAATTTTTGGTTTCTTGTTATCTTGTTGCTCCTAGTAATAAGGTATAAATGTGTCAACTAAAATTTATACGAAACCGTGTTTTTTATCAACTACAGTCTACAGAATAAATTTCGTTTGCACTATTAAGAAATACTTGCTGATTCAATCTTTTGTTAGGCCTTTATTCATGTTTTGGTGTAGAAGAAATACAAATATACTTCCTTTTACTTTTCTAAAATAAGACTCCGTTTTATATGTTTTTTAGTCAGTTTTTTCCTCAGTGAGGTGCACTACAGAATGAAAGGAGTACTAAATACCAAGTTAATTTACATTTCTGCTTGCAGCTTGTAATCCTTGTATTTCATGTGCGTGTATATGTAGTTAGTATTATGATATAATAATTAGGTGCACATCCAATCTAATGCCAATATCTTAAGAAAATCATTTAAGTGAATCATACTTGTATAGGAGTTCTGACTTTTTTTAGTACTAGTAATAGATAGAGTTGTGAGGGGGTACAATGGGCAGATCATATGTTGTAAGAAACTTTTACGGATATTTGCATCATCTTGCATTTTATTTCAATCGTTTTCAGCTTTCCCATTCCAATAATGATATAACAAATAGGTGGGACCAAATAGTATAGTAGTCTTCTTGTGTATCATTAGTTTGGTGATAGAGACAAAGAGAGTATTGGAGATCCTGATAGAAATAACGACATTAGGTAAAGTTGGAAGCTTGAAATCGCTTTTAAAGTTTAAGGCTCGCTTGTATGTGCTTTTGTTAAAAGCGCTCTGAAGAATACGGGATGGACATAGGTTTCCCTTTTAGGAAAACCTTGAGTTTCAATATTGTATGTGAAACCATTGCACACAGCAAAAACATAATGATACAAACTCATATACGAAGTATATACAAACTCATATTGTATGTAACAAGTCTTAATTTGGTATCGAAACCAATTAAGCTCAAACTAGCAATCAGTTTGACTCAGATTTTAAAATTCCAGAGCACGTGTATTTTAATAAGAGTATATTCAAATGAGTCACCATTTTGTGAGATATGTTAAATCATCCCACACCGACAATATAAAAGTGACTCTTAATCATCACGTTTTCTAGACAGGCTGAAAAGTGCTCTATAATAGAACTAAAAACAATATACAACAACATTACCCCAGTGCCGCAAAGGCTCCCACCTATGGTGAGGTAAGGGGTTTAGATGTACGCAGCCTTACCCTGTGCTTTGCGGAGGACCCATGATAAAAGTCGCGTTGAGAATTGCATGGACAAGTTGTTGCTTCATAATAAAGAAGTGCATGTAGTTTAGTGAGCCATTTTACTTTATTTCATCATATTACCAAGCAAAAAATAGTTAGTCTTTGGCTCCTTTAAAAATTAGGGGTGGGCATAGCCCGGGTCGGTCTAGGTTCACTTAGATTTTTCAGGAACTTACATCAATTACTATCGTAATGAACCGAACCTAACCCGCCCCTTTTCAAATGGGTAAGTTCGGTTCGGGCTTTTCGGGTCTTTTTATGAATCTCTATTAAAGCAAAGGTGAGATTCAAGGAATTAAATCATAGTGGTTGTTGTGAAGTAGAAAAATAAAATCAACGGGGTGAACCGTTGCCCAGATAATCAACGATAAAACGATAAAAATACCGTTGCCCAGAGCCAAAAGGCTAAACTCCAATTTTATTCCCAGATGATCAAGAATGAAGCATACAAGAGGTATAAATAACCCTCTAGGTCTAATAAGAATACGAATCCTAATTAAATTATTCTAGGAAACTAAATAGAATAGGAAACCTCTAGTTCTAATAGAACTCCTAATTAAATCATTCTAGGAAACTAAATAGAAATAGAAAACCTCTAATTCTAATAAGAATAGAAGTCCTAAATAAATCCTACTAGGAAACAAATAAAATTAGGAAATAAAATAAAAGGAATAATTAAAATTAATTAAATTGCCCGCAGCCAGCCCACAAAGGTGGGCTCAAGCCCGTTCTCGCCTGGAGTAAACCGACAGCCTTTGGGTCTCGGACCTTCCTCTTCCACACAGCCCCCTGCTCTCCCTACTCTCTATCAGTGGTACACCCGAGGAAATCCGTATCTACATCAGTAATTATCACAAATTCGTAACACTATTATTATTTTTTGTTTTAATACTATGTAATGCTTACCTATTATATTGTCCAATTCTAGACACATGTTTTTTTCATACAGAGATGCTAGATCCAGGGGCGGATTTTTTGTGTATATCAATCACATTTTTTTACATTAATCTTATTATAGATGTAATATTAGAAAATATCTTGCAAAGCATCATACTATTACATTTTCTCAATGAAAACGATTATCTAGATTTCAGAAAATTATACATATTTGATAATATGCAAAAGTTAAAATTGGTAAAAATAGTTCAATGATCATACTTTGTATTTATAATAATAAAACACAAGCTAACTAATAATGATAGTGTAATAATAGTGTATATTAAAATAATGATTATTATATAATAATAATAATGATCATTTAGTTTGATACTCCGTTAGTCTTAGTCTGTAATATATTAGGCTAACCAATATATATCTTGAAATGAAATATTGATTATTGGTGCAGCCGAGTTGTAAAAGGGGTTTGTTCTCGGCTTCCTTCCCACCCGGAGGATATGCGTCAAGGTTGTTAAACTCGAGATCCTAGCTCAGATCGGGAGGGGAAGAGGAGATCGTAACTCGTGGATCGTAACTCGGATCGTAAGATCTTAAAAGCAAAGATACCATGTCTATATATATATATATATATATATATATAGATTTTGGTTCAGGTGAGAAATGCATCTAATGTGAGAAATGAGAATGAATCTCACCCATTGGATTTACGAAGTTGCACTAAAATTGGCTTTATGTTGCAGTAATATTTAAATTTTGCACATGTTGCACTAAAACTGTTTCATGTTGCACTAATATTTGACGGCGTTGTACCGAAATAGCTTCATGTTGCACTAGACACGTGTAATACGGATTTTTCAGAAGTATTTACAGAAATGCCACCGTGCTAGATTGCATATTTTAGTGCATCATGAAGTGTCTTTTACTGCAACTTAGTCGAATCCAATGGCTGAGATTCATTCTCATTTCTCACCCAAAGGGTTCTTCTCACTTGAACCTTACCCTATTTTTTTTTTTTGAGCCTAATATGAGAAAAATTATTATTACTCATACATTATTAAATTAAGTTATTGGGGTAATAGCACACTTCGTAGAGAATAATAATAATTATAATAAGCAACTATATATATATATATATATTTTTTTAATTAAAAATTCAATACAGTACACATGGGGGGATATAAAACCTTACCCAAATCAAATGAAGCCCAAAAGGAGCAGAAAGCAAAAAAAAAACCGGACAAGTTAACTGATATAAGGAGTTGCAACCGCATCCAAAGCTACAGCACCCCTGACGTCAAGTGAAAGATCATTTCCATTTTGCCAATTAAAAGGACCATGACATCCCATTTTAGCCGTAAGGTAGGCCGCATGGTTAACATGGTCCGGAATAATCACAAATCTAAGCCCATAGAAACGGTCCATATAAACTCGCCCCTTCTCCGTCATTCTAGCATAAGAAGATTCTATTTCCACATTAGGCAAGCCAAGCGCCACCGTCCACTGAAGAGCTCGGTCCAGTGCATCCTCCTCCAACCTCGTCGAACCACTAAGGGGAAAACCAGTCGCCCGAACTACCGCTCCGTCTTGATCTCGAACCTTACCCTATATATATATATATATATATATATATATATATGTATGTATTTAAACTTAAAACTTTTGAAATATGAATAACATAATGTCATTTTTGAATTAAAAGTTTAAAACACTTAGGATAACAAACTTACGATAAATTAAAAAAGACATTTTCAATACTTTATTGTTCTGTTATCTTCACTCATGGATATACCATGCTCCCAGCCAACTTCGGTTCTCTACCCTGCAGCTTTTTTGTTTGCTATTGACCCACTTGCCATACTTATGCTATCAGAACTTCAGAAGTCAGAGTCACTAATAACCCCTTTACTAAAGTGCCTTTAGTAAAGTGGAGTATAAGTGAAATATTTTGGTAAAGCTCGCGACACAGAAAGATGAAGAATAAGCGGACGACACAGAGAGATTTACAATAAGCGGACGACATAGAGAGAACAAAGAACAGAGAAGAGATGAGGACTGTAGAAAAAGACGCTATATTTCAAATTTTTTCAAACTCGTCGTTTCAGACTTCAACGGCGCCCGTTTTTTAACCGAGTGGTAACAGCTCGTTTTAGATCGACGAGTCGTATGTTTTACGATCCTACTCGACGATCTGCCGGTCCCAATGCAATTTCCGATTTTTGGAGCGATCTGACTCGATTCCCCCTCTCCAAATCGCAAACTCATACGATCTTACGAGTTACCTCGCGATCCTAACAACCTTGATATGCGTCCCACACCAAAAGTAGATGAAGCATTCCTCCTTCCAATGTATTATATATAATAAACTTTTAATAAGATTTCGATTGAGCAAATAAACATTCAGCCCTTCTATGTGGGTGTATCCTTGATGCCTTAGCTTAGGCCTGCCTATGTGGCACTTTTCAAGGCCTTTTAGAACACTGGTTTGGGATAATTTCAAATTAAAAGTGTAATTTAAACGGGTCGGTCCGGGTACCTGTAATTTTGAACTGTAAGAACCGGACCAAAACTATATTAATTATTACCCGCCCCGACTCACCCCGTTTTCTTTTTCAAAAATTTAGAACTGCTTATTACCCGCCTAACCCGTTATTAGTTGCCCCGACCCGTGGTTCCAAACCCGTTTGCCCGCCCCTATTGGAAATGATGGAAATAGAACTAAAAACAGTATAATGTTCGGAAATACAGTTATGAAATATTTTAATGGAACTTTAAAAGCAATATTTATAATCTCTTTTCAAAGAAGGCACGTTAGGCACCTATCAAGTGCTTCCTTCAAAACCACTTGTACGTATTTTACATATTACAAATAGAAATATGTAAAAGCGATGTTGACCTACTAAAACAGATTTTCAGCTTGTGTAGAAATGCAATCGAACATTCTTACTCATCAGGTTTTGTCTACTTTAATTCACATTCTCATTAGGTTGGTGTTGTTTGATACTATACCAATTCTATGCAATTTTCGTTCTTGTCGTCCATCATTAGTGATTTTTTAGCCTCCATTTAGCCTTAATTTATGTTTCATGGCTTCTATTTCTTGAGGAGTCAGAGGGTAATAATATGCTACGAGTATGTAACTGCATTTCATGGTGGCAATTTTTCCTTTCAAGTACAAAACATGCCAGAAAATGGAAATAGCGTTACAAGAATCTCATCCTACCTTTTTAATGATTGCAGATTTGCCCCATTTGTTCTGTTAAAGTTTCCAGGGACATGTTAAGTCATATAACACTGCAACATGGACACTTATTCAAGATATCCTTGATTCAATGTGCTGTTTATTTTGCTACTTTTTAAAAACACTTCTAATCCCCAATATCTCCTGCTTCATGGTCCTATTTAAATGACATTTTGTGAGGGTGAATTTGGCTGACATTGCTGTGATGAATACTAGTATTATTTATATGGAAATATTCTTATGAGAACCCATTTTAGATCATTTTATTTTGAGAATTTTTAATATCTACCATTTATATTTTTCAATCAATAGCTACTAATAAAGTGATATTTTTGTAATTATTCTAAAATAACTACAAAATACCACCTTGTCAAATATTAGCCATTGATTAGAAACATGAGAAGTAAAATTAATGTTATCATTCGTAAAGATTTTCCATGGTAAGATGACTTCTTATGAGACCCACTCTCCCTCTCTCTTGTATATAGATGTGTATATAGAGACTGCCGTTCATATAAAATTGGTGTTTCGTGTGAGATGTGCCAAAGGTGCATGCTTTGTTGACCATGGCGAACTATATGTGTACTAAGTGCATTTGTATGGTAGAAAAGTTGGATTCATTTATGAAAACATACACATTTTTTATCAAATTTATTGTGTGCTAGCAATCCTAGCATTGTTCACCTTTTCATAGCCCTGGATCTAAGATCTGTTGCAGTAGATTTATTAACATACACCTTATTTGAAACAAAATCTACACATCTAGAAAAAAGGATAAATGATCCTATTATACAACATCAACAAAAGAAGTACCTTCATCTGGGTTCTTTTACATCTCTAACTGTTCAGCGTGCTTAGTGTATGGTAGAAAAGAAATGTCTGATAAGCTGAAATAGTGACTACTTAATGGCCCCTTGATATTTCTTTAACTATAAGACACCTGCAGCGTAGGCGAAGGTTACGTAAGGTCGCAATTCCGAACAGTCAGGCGGCACTCTCTTTACTAGGGAAGGATCTTCGGGAAGCCCATCTGCAGGTGCTTCTGGGAGGAGGAAGCAGTGGGTTTCGGTCAACCACTGCCACAACTTCATCTTCATCTGTGGATCCCTTCCTCTCTTCTCTAGTGCTTAACTTCCCCGTCTCTGAAGCTGATGAGATCTCTTCCAAGCCTGAGGACACTTGTATGAAGAGCGAGGCATCTCGACACACATGGAAGTTATGGTGGTTATTCTTTGTATAATTCATCTGGTGCTCTTCATGATATATCCACATCCAAATTTGTTTAAATTTCAATTTTTTTTGCAGTTTTGATCCGTCTCTCAGTTATGAAGAACGGAAAGAAAAGATAAAGCAGGCGAACGGGAGAGCTTTTTTCCTGCAGGATTTGTTTGCTTCCGCTTTGTTAGCTGAGTAAGTTCAAATTTTGCAAATGTTTATAGTTGTGTCAACTCATTGTTATATGTAGATTTGGATGGGAGAAGGGGACTATGGCTGGGTTGAAATAACAGTACATATAGAGCCTCATCTCAATGTGTTTGTCAAAACATTTATGTACAAACTCATGTAACTGTAATTTTATTGCCTTTTCTCTCCAAGTTTGGAATATACACGCTGTTGATTTCACTGTTGTGATCCTATTATATGGGGTTTTGCAACTTTAGTTTTGTGACTATTTTGTTAGTGACACTTGATAGTCACTATTAATTTTTTAACTGTAAGTTCAACTTTGAATTGTCAACTATTTATTTTAGTTATTACACAATTCAGTGTGTGAAATCAAAGTCACGAGGTTGATAAATTAGAATAAGGTTACCAAGCGGGCTCTTGGGATGTTTTTAATTGGATTGGATCAGACTTAAACAGACTAGATCAGAATTTGATAATTATAAAATACACAGACAGAGACTAGACACCTACCAGACCTGACTTTAACAATGTAAAATATACAGAGACCAACAATTATTTGACCAGATTTAAACTGATCAGACTATAAAATTTCAATCTAGTAAGAACATCTTGAGTGACCATGAAATCACTTAAATAATGTGAAGGTAACTACGTAAATGTTGACGAGTTAGTGAGTCTATTTTTTTTGCCTTAGCATATTATACTATCTGTTCTGTTAAGGCCAATATCCTTGAACTGGGATGAAATTCGAACATGTGACCTTGTCTTTAGAAGTGTCACACTGATATCATCAAATTACAAGTTACTTGGCAGTGTCTTTAGATCCGTTAGTTAATTATTATCGTCTCTTCAACTGGTTACCGGTAACGGGTGACCCTCACCCCTCACACGAAGTGTAATACCCCTCAACTTTAAACGCCTAAAGCCAATCACCTGTTAATCCCTGTTATTGCCGGCCGTAAAAATACCCCATTAATTTCAGACTACCCCTTTGGTTACCGTTTTTATTGGGGATTTTAGTTAGTTTCTTTACCTATATTTGATTAAACCATTCATAAATTCTCAAAATAATACTCACAAACTTGAACATGTCTTTACAGGAGTAATAACAATTTTATGAGATCATTTTATATACACTCATTTTTTGAATGTGAACTTTCTATATACTCTTTATATACACTCATTTTACAGGAGTAATTTCTATGTTTTTTTGAATGTCTAAGCTCCTGTGCGTTTTTTTAAAGTCATCCTCTGGATTTTATTTATTTGTGAATCCATAACCTATTTCATGTTCTTAACTAGTTAACTTTGTCACGTTGTGTGTTGTTTGAATCCTTTAGACTGATAAACGCTTCAATTCCTTGCATAGATCTTCAATTTTATATGCGTTGTATATTTTTTGCCTTTCATTTTTGAAAAACTGCCATATTTCTTGCCATCTTTCCTGGAAAACTGCCATAGCTTTTGCCATTAATTACCTAATCTACACTGTTACACATTCACTAATCATCAGTTTTGAATATTGAATTGCCAATTATGCGTTCCAGTACTTGTTTGCCATCATTTAAAAAATAAAAAGGAAAGTGTAAAGTTTATTTGATACCGGAGGTAGTAATAGAGAAACACCACCCACTCTAGAATTTTATTTTGGTTATAATAGGAGAACACAATCTTCGGGGGACTGGGGGAGTGTTTTACAAAACTCAAGTGTTTTTATCTTGTTTTTAAAAAGCTGAAAAAAATGTTTTAAATTCACCATTTTTAGCTTCTAATTAGTATAGTACCTGTGCGATACACGGGAATATACGAAATAATTTATTACGGAGTAATGTTACAAAATAATTTATTACGGTGTAATGTTACAAAATACTGGGATGAATAGATACATAATCTTTTTTTTGACGATTTCATTTAGCTTAATAACTTAATTAGAATTTAAATTTAATGTGGGCTAGGGCTTAAATTGTGCTTCTAGCTAAGCCCCTGCTTTAGTGGGACATATATGTATCAGTAGAGGGATAAACTTAATGAAATGAATTTAAAATAAAAGTGAAAAGGTGTAAATATTTCACACTATTCCTCAACATTTTTTTATTTTCATTTCCAATAATATTAGTGCAAATAAAGAAATTTAACAAATAAGACTTTAATTCGTCAAACATGTTAAAATCCATTAGAGCATCTCCAATGCTAAAACGTTAACGGTGCATACGTGGCATGAGAAATAACCAATTAAAAAACAATAAATACAATATCTCTTCCCTTCTTTCCACGGTCTTATGTGTTTATGGTAAGTTTTTGTCTGCAATGTCAATCACAATGTCTACATCTAGACATTGTGCTTGACATTGTGAAGAAAAACTTACCAAAATGATGTAAGATCCTTCAAATAAGGAGAGAGATATTGAATTTATTGTTTTTTAATTGGTTATTTTCCATGCCACGTATGCACCGTTAATGTTTTAGCATTGGAGATGCTCTTATATTGATAGTTTTACTATACATCACTATGAAACAAAAATGGAAGGTGCAAGTATTTTAAATTATTCTTCGACATTATTTATCTTCATTCCCAATATGATTGGTTCGAACACAAAAATATATTCCCTCCGTCCCGCTAAAATTGTCTCATTTTACCTTTTTGGAAAGTCTCACTAAGATTGTCCGATACAATATTTGGTAAAGATTGTGTGGGTGTAAATCATTCCAACTTTATTTTTACTTTATCAATTTAATATCAACCAGACAAACCTACTTTTCTTAATAATCATGTCACCTTCTCTCGTTCCTTTTTATTTAGTTTTCTTTAACTTTTCCAGTCAAAAATGATAAATTTTAATTTATTATTTTAACTAATATTTATATGAAACTTAATAAATTTATACTTTATGATAGTATTTTTAATAAAAAATATTTTCATATCATTTTTCATATTATCAACACTATCGTGTATAAATATAACCGGTCCAACTTTATAGTCAATAATTTAGAAAGTCAAATTAGAACAAATAAAAAGGGGCGGATGGAGTAATAAATATGGCCACTATATGTCATATAGTCTTTGTGGCTTCACCATAGCCGTAATATTTGTACTTTTACTTTACATCAAACAATTATTGTAGTCTTTAAATATATAAAAATAAAATATTAAAGAATATGCATAGTTTTAATATAGGTGGTATACATGCATGTAGTGAAAATATGGGCACTTTTTTAGGAGTAATTGTAGTTTTTCTACATTTCAAATGAGCACAGTAATAATCATTGTTTCGCTTTACTATGGCATAAATATATCGTAATCACCAAGTTTTAAATTAGATCATTATATTCTCTGATAAAATTGATATTGATCGAATATGAAGAGAGAATGTAAAATGAGAAATTCATAGAAGAACATAATGCTTTCACTTAATTATTATTAAGGCTGCGTATCCTTATATAATACTAGTACATTGGTTGGGTGGGTGTGATAGGAAAAGAAAAACAAGTGCATGTGAGGAAAGTACGTATGCATGGCATATAGCATGTGATACTTACGTAACAATGTTTAAAGGAAGTTACCATGCAAGTACCTAATAAATAGAAAATATAAAAATGTCTTCAATACTCCCCCTCAAGGTGGAGTGTGAAGGTTACAAACACCCAACTTGCTCCGAAGGAATTGGAAACGATCTGTACCAAGTGCCTTGGTAAAAATATCTGCAACTTGTGCTTCACTAGAGATGTAGCATGGTTGGATTTCCTTACTAGCGACCCGCTCTCTGACAAAGTAACAGTCCATCTCTACGTGTTTGGTGCGTTCGTGAAAAACAGGATTAAGTGATATGTGTCGGGCTGCTTGGTTATCACAGTAAAGGGGGGTAGGGCCGGGCTGGTTGGCCTCAAAATCTCGGAGTAACCAACGTAGCCATAATATCTCACTAACTGTGATGGCCATAGCACGGTATTCTGCTTCAGCGGAAGAACGAGAAACAACAGACTGCTTCTTTGTACGCCAAGATATTGGTGAGTCGCCGATGGTGATAAAGTATCCAGTACTAGAACGACGAGTAAAAGGACATCCAGCCCAATCAGAATCACAATACCCTTTTAGGATAATGTCACTATCTGATGATAACAAAATACCTTGGCCAGGTGTTTGTTTTAAGTATCGTAGAACACGAATAGCAGCATCAAGATGTGTTTGTCGTGGGCTGCTGAGAAATTGACTGAGTTGACTGACTGAGTAAACAATATCGGGTCGGGTTACCGTGAGGTATAGTAAGCGACCAATGAGTCGTCGATAAGAGGAGGCATCCACGAGGGGGCTATCATCATTAGGGCGTAGTTTTAAATTTTGTTCCATGGGGAATAGACTGGGACGCCCGGCTGAGAGGCCGCTTTCTTCTAAAATGTCAAGGGTATATTTTCGTTGACTCAAAACGAAACCTTTCGGAGAACGAGCAACTTCAATACCAAGGAAGTATTTTAATTTTCCCAAATCTTTTATGCTAAAGGTAGAGTCCAAGTAACTCTTGACCGTGGAGATATGGGAGCTATGATCTCCTGCTAGAATAACATCATCCACATAGATAAGTGCAAAAGTGTGTATGGGGCCCTCACGAAAAAGGAAAAGAGAATGGTCTGCGTTTGATTGGCGAAAACCAAGTCGGGTGAGGGCTTGAGTGAATTTGTGATACCAATTACGAGAGGCTTGACGTAGTCCGTACAAGGATTTGTGTAACTTGCAGACACGATGTTCACCACCTTTTGTAAATCCTTGTGGGATACGCATGTACACATCCTCAGATAAGTCTCCATGGAGGAAGGCGTTATTAACATCAAGTTGGTGAACCACCCAGCTACGTTTGGCTGCAATAGTCAACAAACAGCGGACAGTGACAAGTTTGGCAACAGGTGCAAAAGTCTCGTGAAAATCAATTCCTTCAACTTGAGTAAAACCTTTAGCTACCAATCTAGCTTTGTAACGTTCCACGTCGCCGTTGGGTTTATATTTAATTTTGTAAACCCATTTAGAATCAACTATCCTTTTCCCTGGTGGTGGAGGGACCAAAGACCAAGTTCCATTTTCTTCTAAAGCGTGAATCTCCTTTTGCATGGCCTCTCGCCATAAAGGATCCTGGACTGCCTGTGAAAAGTATTTGGGCTCATCACGTGAAGTGATGGCTGCTAGGAAAGCTTTATGTGTGGGTGAGAATTTTTCATAACTTATAAAGTGAGAAAGAGGATATACCGGTGAGTTGACTGAGTTGGCAGTGGGCCGTGAATGATCAAGTGAAGGCGGCAAGTCAATCTCATAATCAACTAAATGTTTTGGAGTTCTACGAATCCGGGTGCTTCTTTTTGG